ATTCCATTCATTTATCACTTGGAATAGCTGGAACACTTTGTATGCTAGGATTGAACCATTAGCATTAACATTAAGAAACTAGATTTTAAGTTATTAAACATAATTACAGTATATATGGAAACATAACCTTGAACAAAGAGATTTTATGAACAATTCTATTTCAGTAATGGACAGAAATGTACATAGTTTATAAAATGACACATTGTAAAATGCCATCATAAAGTCCTTGCACTTTTACTCTAATATATATATATATTCAGGTTGTTGTAATAGCTAGGTCATGCAATACGGTGATTCTTGGTAGCTTAGTTCAGGTTATATTGAGTAGTTATAGGATTATATAGGTCTTAGCTAATGGAGTATGATTATAAGCCCCTTTCTTCTTGTATTATACAAAATATACTGGTAATTAAATCACTCGAAAACAAAGAACTCCTGTGTTGAAGTTTAATATTCATGTAATTCCCGCCATGAATATGGCCAGAGCATATATCGTAGTGTTTGTCGTGTCTGTCTTGCATCTAGCTGTCTGTCCATCCATCACACTTTGGATTTAGCTCAGTTTTAAAGAAACTATTCAAGATATTTTTATCAAACCTTATACGCTAATACATACTGGTGAAAGCTATTCAACTGCATCAACATTTTTATGCCCAGCTATGATTATGAATGAGGCATACAGTGTTTGCAGGGCTAGAAATAATTATTTTTGTTTACTGGTCACTTGGGCTATCGCCTTAAATTTTTACTGTTCAGCTTTGTACTTTCACTGCCCCACTGGGCCAGTAGATTTTAAAAAGACTGGCCCAAACCATAATAATAATAGTAATATTTTTTTTATATTGTGATACTTAGAATTAAGTACAACAAAATAAGAAACAGCAGAAGTTGGGACACACAACCCTGTCAAGTTAACTAGCCCGACTGTGAATGAATTTTATTATGCATAAAAAAATGCTGACCCAAAGGGCACGTGCCTTCTGCAATGTACTAACCCAGATTGAAAATTCACTGGCCCCAGACCAGCAGGCCATCAATTATTTCGAGCCCTGGTTTGTCTTGTCTGTCTTCCGTCTTTCCATCCTTTCATCTGTCTGTCAATCACACTTTGCATTTAGCTTAGTTTAAAAGAAACTTTACAGGATATCTTTATCAAACCTTCTTGGTTAGAGCTATTCAACTACATTTTTGTCCTTGACCTTTTCTTTGACCTTGACCTCACTTTTCGTAAATTTGTATTTAGTTCAGTTCAAAGAAAGTATTCAACATATTTATACAAACTTCATATGCTGATACATATTGATAACAACTATTCAACTTTGTTTTGACCTTGGCCTTTCCTTTGACCTTGACTTCACATTTCTTAATTTTGTGTTTAGCTAAGTTTCAAAGAAACTTTTAAAGATATTTTTATCATATTTAATATGCTAATACATTTTAGTGAGAGCTATTCATCTGCATCAACATTTTTTTACCTTGACATTCCCTTTGACCTTGACCTCACTTTTCTTAAATTTGCATTTATCTTGGTTTAAAAAAAAACAAATCAAAATATGTTTATCAAACTTCATATATGCTGAGATATTTTGGTGAGTGGTACTGAATTGTGCCATAAATTTATAACCTTAATCTTCTCTGTGACCTTAACTCAATTACCCTTAATCTTAAACAAAGAAACAAGGTAATTTTTTTTTCAACTAATGAACCCTGGGCAGGGCATTTATGTCCTATGGACATATTTCTTGTTTGACCTTGACCTTTCTTTGACCTTGAACTCAACTTTTCTTAAATTTGTGTTTAGCTCAGTTTCAAAGAATCTTCAAAATATTTTTTTCTGAACACACGTACTGGTACATATTGGTGAAAACCACAGGCCTTTGGATTGTTAAGAATTCGACTGACAAAATCTGGAAAATAAAATTATACCCCCCCCCCCCCCCCCCAGTTTTGTCAGTCTACTTAAAGCGATCCAAAGTGGTAAAAACTATTCACCTTTGTCCAAAATGTATGATTTTGACCTTACTTTTCTTTATTTTGCCTTTAGCTCAGATTAAAAGAAACTATTCAGGATATTTTTATGAAAGCTTATGCTCTGATACATGTACATAATTTGATAAGAATTTATCAACTGTGTCCAAATTTTTTTTACCTTGACCTTCCAAATGACCTTTGACTTCACTATTTATTTCCATAAAACTCAGTTTTAAAGAAACTATTCAAGATCATAATTTTCATCAGACTTCATACACTAATACAAATTTTCATGTTTTATTACTAATGAACCCTGGGCAGGGCATTAATGTATTATGGACATATTTGTAGTTTTTTATGCTCCAGTAATCGAAGATTCAGAGGTATATAGTTTTTGCCTTGTCTGTCCATCTGTCTGTTGGTCTGTCTGTTTGTCTGCTTAAACTTTAACATTGCCCATAACTTTTGATTGGTTGGAGCTATGACTTTCATATTTCACATGTGTATTCCTTGTGACAAGACCTTCCTTTGGGTACCAATATTTTTGAGCTCTTGACCTTGACTGTGGAGTTTGACCCACTTTTGCAAAAATTTTACCAACTTTATCCCTGGCTGTAAGTGGCATAACTTTGGAACAGTTGGTGCTAGGGCTTTCATATATCATATGTGTATTCATAGTGACAAGACCTTTCCATGGGTATAAATATTTTTGACCTTTTGACCTTGACCTTAGAGTTTGACCCACTTTTAAAAAACTTTAACCTTGGCTATAACTTTTATATAGTTAGCACTAGTGCTTTCAAATTTCACAGGTGAATTCCTTGTGACAAGTCTTCAGGATACCAACAATTTTGACCTTTTGAGCTTGCATGACTTTGGAGTTTAACCTTTGCCATAACTTTTGAACAGTTGGTGCTTAGGGGCTTTTATATTTTGCATGTGTATTTCTTATGACAAGGGTTTTCCCTGCGAATCATTAATTTTCACCCTTTGACCTTGGAGTTTGACCCACTTTTAGAAAATATTAACCTTGATGATAATTTTTAATGGTTGGTGCTTGGGCTTTCATATTTACCAGGTATATATTGACATAAGTCCTTTATTTGGGTAACGACATATTTGATCTCTTGACATTGACCTTGGAGTTTGACTTGCATTTAAGAAACTTTAACCTTAGCCTTAAGCTGCCATACAGGGGCATCAGTGTTTCACAAACGCATCTTGTTAAGTGTTGCAGTTCAAAGATACTTTGAGAGATACTATAATGTGCTTGAGCTCATGTCTTATTGATACTTTGCATGAGGACATTATGAATTTTACACTAGAGAATGTATATTGATCTGAAAAGCTGAGTAAATTTCACCGAGTGTACTCAGTACAAGAGCTTTTGTTCTATTGATATTAAAGAGGTGACAGGTTTAAGTTGTTCATCAGCAGATAACATGTATGAAAGTCCACACTACTGCTGATAATTATTCGACTTTCTTTTTCTGTCTAGTGTAATTTTATATGATATAAATGATGAGTTGGGTTTGCAATCTGATTTACTTCCTTAATTTGATACAATGTAAATGTTTACTAGTCTTTCAGACCACTTAATAAGCTTAACAATATAAAGTTTCAGTAGTGCCCTATAAAGTGCTATAATATTATATATATTTATAAAAAGAATAGCAAAAAGTGGGAATTTCCAATATAACAAATTTACAATTTCTTAATATTTAAGAAATTTGATAGTTGCATAATTTGCAATCAAAATATATACCAATCCATGCATGCAATTTTCTGTTTGTAGAAAGTGTGAATTAATGAGTTTTGAGCTCACCTGAGCTGAAAGCTTTTCTGATCACTTTTTGTCTAGCATCTTTCCTTGTGTAAACTTTTCACATTTTTGACTTCTCCTCAAGAACCACTGGGACAATTTCAACCAGACTTGTCAAAAAGCATCTTGGAATTGGGATAAAAGGGATTCACTTTTTTTTCAAATGGAAAACCACACCTCTTTCAAGAGGAGAAATTAAGAATTAGTGAAAATTTTATGGCATCTTTCAATAATGTTCTAAAAAAAACTGGGACAGAAAAGTTGAAACTTATGTGAAAGCTTTATTACATAGTGTAGATTTAAGTTTGTTCAAATCATACCCCCAAGGGTAGGCTGGGGCCACAATGGGCAATCAAAGCTTTAAATAGGAATAAACAGGAAAAAATCTTTCTAAAATTTCTTCTCAAGAGCAGCAAAGCCATGATTAGTCATATTGATATGGAAGCATAACCTAAGGTAGATTAAATTGGAGTTTGTTCAAATCATAACCCCTGGGGGTAGGATGGGGCCTCCCCTGATAGATATTCAAAAGTTTTAGATAGCAAATTATTAAGGGAAAAAAACTTAAAATCTAAATCTTCTCGAGAATGGCAAAGGGATGATTAGTTACATTGATATGGAAGCATCTTCAGGTAGTGTAGATTCAAGTTAACAAAAATGTAGTTCAAATCATGACCCTCAGGGATAGAATGAGGCCAATTAAAAGCTGATGCAAGTTTTACATAGGAATTAAACTCTGCTGAAGAACAGGAGGGCTGTAGTGATCGACTGGGGAGCATTGTGGCCAATGGGCCTCAATCTTGTTCATTTTTCACATCATCCCTCAAACTGCTATCCTGGGAGTTTGAGAAGGCAATGAATGTCTGAACTTTAAATAATTAATAGTTCCTGTAATTAATATACACTTCTAGTTGAATTAGCTTCTTTGAAGAAGATATTTATTATTAGATATATTATTATGAACATAGCTTGTTTACATCATGGGTGTTTAAGTGAAGGATACATAACATCCAGAAAGAAGATTTTTACAAGAATTTGTGGCTCAATTCAGCAGATATAGGTGTTTTAATGACCACCCATAAGCTAGCTGACAATCTCGGGAACAATGCCACTATTTTAAAAACCCATTGTTATTGATAAGAGGTTCAACAATTACAGTTGTGCAGATGCATCCAGCAGAGAATGAATAATTAAAGTGATTTGTTTTAGCAGAGGAAACCTGAGTCCACAATGCATACAGTATAAATGACAACTTTGCAGTGTGCTAGTGTTTTCTATAGAAGAATTAGGTTTAGTAGAAGTGACAGACAGATTCCTCACAACTAAGTATTGGTGAATGCTCAGTTATCTCAGTAATGTAGATTTTTGTGGTGCAGAATTATCTCGTGAGTGTAACACAATTGTGACAGTTTTGTGAGCCTGGGGAAAAGTATCTGATTCACATTTTTGAGAAAACTAAGTGGTATGTTCTGCCAAGAATGATACGATTTTGAGATTTCAGGAAGTTCGAAGTTTTTTTGTTTTTTTTGTTTTTTTTTTAATACATTTTAGAATACTTATTTCAAAATTAGGTGCATGTTTTTTTTTCAGATTGATGTGAAATATCCTTGAAGAATATTGTCAGGAATCAGTCACTAATTGTAAGTAGATTTTTTTCCAATTTTATTTTCTGCAAAAATCAGATAAAACATGAGGTTATGTATATGAGATTATTTTATTGATAATTCACGTATGGAAAATCCCAGGCCGGCAAATTCTGAAAATGAAAAGTGTACGTCACTTGTTTAGCAGGAATTAAGACTCTTATTATATACTTCATACATGTATATCATGGTATAGGTTCAAGAGGTTTTAAGTACATATTACTTATCATAAATATTTTATGATGGCATTATTTGAATGTATGTGCTTCACCAGTTGCCCTCATTCATGAATTTCCAAGGATGCTTATGATTTTTTACTCTCCCTAAAAGCCAGTTTTAATTTCCATCGGGAAGAATTTTACATGTATAAATTCAAGAGGTTTCAAGTACATGTGACTTATTATAAGAATTAGTTTGAGATGGCATCATTTATGTATCACAAATTGTCCTCATTTGTCAATTTCCCAGGATGGTAATGATTTTTATTTTTACTATAAAAGCCCGCTTTTGTGTCTCAGTTTCACATTTCATTGTTTGTAACAAAGAGGGCAGACACCACAAGACAGATACATAAGGCTAGTACATGTAATTAATATTACTTTTAGAAGGAATCACATTATTACATTGGTACAAAGGTTGGGAGTTACATGTAATTTGTAAAGTTAATAAGCCATATTCTTGGTGTAAGTCTTATTATATCCGTGTCAGTGTTCAGCCCCTAGCTGTCACACCAGGGCTATATTTCCACAGAGTTGGCAAGGGGTTGTTAAATTTCTGGTATTACTGTGGAATATAAATTCAACGAGATTTTCAAAAGATGAAGATGTCATGATATCCTGACAATGACAGAGGTGTTTCCATGGAGCTGCTGTGGCATATGCTACTACATTCCTATGGAGTTCGAACTGATGATTTACTGCACTCCCGCTTAGTGGACATGACTTGCTAGGACTGGTCACTTTACGTTCACAGCGTACACAATGCCCGGATTGCATGCAGGAGATGTTCTTTCTACTCAGTTACATCTCAAAGGACTGAGAGAGGCTCTGTGCAAGTGCCATCGACTATATCACTGTGTCCATACTGCAATCGTGTGTGTCACTTAGGTGTGCCAACAGAGCTTTGCGGTGTTGTAGGATACTCTACTCTGGCATTCTGCTTTTTCATGGATGCCATGGGTCATGGCCATGAATTGGCTGCCCTGGTGTGACAGGTGTTTAATGCCAAAAAAAACATGTCGCAAAATGCCTTAAAAATATTGGAACTTTTAGATGAGTATAGTACATACTGCAAGACCAACTATTAGTGTTATAATTTCTTTCTTAAATACCTTTTAAAAGATATTCCATAATAATGGTTAAGCAAGACTTAATATGAAATTTTGTTATCATCAATTATTGATTTAAACTTGATCATTGCAGTAATTACTGTACATGTACATAAGCTGGTATGAACTCAATATATAATACTAACATAGGAAATTATAGAATTTATATATCAACACAACTAATACTGTTATTGACTGGGTAATTAGTAATACCAGTGTACATATAGGGATTGGTCTGATTTAATTAGTAATGCCACAAGTTCATTTTATCAATAATTTATGGCCTAAACATACATCCCAGTTGCCTTATAGCACAGGAAATGATATAAGGTAGGCTATAACTTGAGAGGAAATAGAATTCTGAAATTATGTGTCATCTTCAGTTTTTATAAACAAAGAAGTCAGGGAAATAGATTCATTACCTTGACTTCCTTTTTTAAGCTCTCTCAGAATTAGTTCTGGAAGGGCACTCAGATTATTTTTAGCTGATGTTATTGATTTGGGATAATTTCATATCAACTGCAGTTTTTTAGTGTTCTGTGTTTTATCAAATCAGTGATGTTTTTTAATGTTGGATTCTTACAGATTTGACTGGAGAAATCAGGAGTCTTGTTAGTGTTTATAAACAAAGTCAAACACAACCAAACATTTGTTGGCACCGGTTGAAATTGATCGCTGAAACATCCTGCAATCAAAGGTTTGTATATCAAGACAAAAATTTTGTCTTTTTTTATGGTTGATTTTTTTTTTTTAAACTTGAAATTAAATATAGATTACTTGGATATATTGTGTTACATGCATAAATTAAAAAATCAGTGTGTAAACTATCAACATCAATAAAGTCATAGTATGGAATGAAAATTTAGAAACATTCAGTTCAGTTTTATGCAGAAAGCATGATGAAATAACAAATATTGGGTTCAAGTACAGAGTTAATATATGAATTAATGCAAATCACACTAGTACATTTCACATGTGATTAGTAGGCCATTAATATACAGTATAAGTATATCATTGAGGGAGTTAGCAAGATTCCAGTTCAGCAAAGGCCAGGACTATTTCCCGATTAAGCCGAGGGAAATAATCCTGGTCGAGGGGAACTGGAATCTTGCTAACTCCCACAATGATATACTTAACTGTTTTATTATACCGATTCACATGTAAAATTTAGAGGATTCAATTAGCGTGATTTCAGAGCAGGGATTAGCTCACTGAACTAACACACAGGGATTAGTCCATTCACATATCATACCAATGGAAAAGTAAAATCTGGAGGATTACGGATATATAACCGGGAGTTAGCTTTCGAAGCAGGGATTAGCTCACTTGAATAACACACGGGGATTAGTCCATTCATAACGATTTCTAGGGAATTAGTCACATCTAAAAATCTAATGTTATATAGGGAAAATATCAGTAGAGGTACAATAAATTTAAATGACATACATGTAGATGTTGACTACATGTATTAGTTAAAATAATTCACTAACATTCCATTATGAATCTTTTATTTTCTGGTGCTTTAACTAAATGAATTTCCATTCAAACAGTAATTTTTTAGGGGATAGAAGAGATGAGGTTTTACAGATGATGTAATTCTGAAGTTATAGTAATTTTTAAAAATGGAAGACAGTAATCTAGATGACCATTTTGTGAATAGTATTTAGCATGGTGTACAAATGATTGCTAATGGCATGATGTCAAGGAGAAATTGAGAATTCCATACCATTTAGTACCCACTTGTCCTAATTTCCTGGCATTGAAGGCCTTAATTATCTACATTATAATAATCAGCCGACCAACAAAGTCTTGTTTAGAAAACTGTAACATATGGACCTCCTTATTTTGCATTGTACACTGTTACTCCGAAAAGATTGTGGCTTTTGAATCTAATTTTCAAAGTCATCTACAAATCATTAACTTGTTTATAAATTTAACAATATTCATATTTTCACCTTTTTTTCCTCTTTTGGTATTTTCCATCACATAGCTGATGGAATGATTGAAAAAGTCAGGAATATATACATGAAACTTGCACACAATATAAATGGAAAGTGATTTTTCAGATATTATGGCGGAGGTGGAAGTGCCAAACAGTCTGGAGGAGTTTATAAGCTCTGGAAGAACAGGAAGACGGAATGCTATGGCAGACATCTTGGATTCCAAGTGTGCATCTACCAGTACAGCAGGACTAGATCTGGACATGTCAGGACTCAAGTGTTCAGGTAAAGGAAATTATCTGTTAGGGTATTCTTTGTTTCACTTCTCCGAGAAAAAAATATTTTCTGGACCAATTCGTGAATAAGTAAAATAAGGACTTGAGAATCACTGTGGGAAAACCAAAGACATAAGCCACCTTAAACACATTTTACGAATGTCGCATTAATCAGACATTCCCCCATCGTCGCAAGCCACGGGTTTTGTGTCCATTCTATTTCCACAAACCTGTGGCTGCCTCCTACCAAATTCTCTCGTTCTTGAATATTTATTAAGTGACGCCAGATTTACCTTGACCAATGAAATCACTCTGTAGCAATTTTTGGTAAGCTTAAATGGCGGCGCCCATAATGAAATTATGTTTGCTATGCATGGCAGATTTATTGAAAAAAATACGATAGATCCTGAAGAACAGAGGTGAGTAACGTATATTTTAAAATACTTACAAGGTTTTACATTAAAATACAGGGTTTCGAGTGTAGACGTTGTGTGAGAACGCTGAATAGCATTGCTTGTTAAGAAAGGAAATTTGAACCGAAGTTGATGTACAGCTCGTGGTTATGGTTACATCCAAATACAAGATAGACTGATCATTTTCATTGGTTCTGACTTGAAGCGTCAGATGTTATTCCATTGGTTGAATGTATGTTATTAATATTCATGAGAACAAGAGAAATTTGTAGGAGACAGCCAGGGTTTGTGGAAATAGAATGGACACAAAACCCGTGGCTTGCGACGATGACATTCCTCAGCTGAAGCTATTTATGTGGGAGTATAGAGTGAAAGTACTCATGGGTAAAAGAACCAGTTTGACTAAGAATACAAAAATTTACAAAGCTACCAAAACTAAATGTTAATAAATAGAAAGATAGGGGAGATAACTGAGATGTTAGGGGAGATAACTGAGAGGGACGTATATGAAACCTGCTTCCTGATTAATGTGTGCTAAAATGTGGCTCTTACTTCAGTATACCCCAAAACAAAGATGCTAGAAGCATATTAACATTGCTCAGTGATAAGTTTTGGATGTAAAATGCATATTTTTTCTGTATTCTAAAATACATCACTGTTAGTTTCTTTTTTACCTTAATTTTGTAAAGCTAAAGAAGTTAAGAACTTCAAATTCAATCACTATGCTTCAGAGAATGTTCTTAAGGGTCACAAATATATGTATTTGTTAATGGATAAAATATAATCTATCTGGCTGTGAAGGAAAAATGTTTCATTTACATGTAATGCTGATAGTTCAATTTTAAATCTATCAAGTTGTGCATTTCCTTGGTCATGTTGGTGTAGTAGGTTGTTACCTACCTACAGATATTCCTCCTTAACATTCAGAATGGCATAGTGAAAGATTACTTTGTAAACAAATGCATTATCTGATTATTGGTTTTGAGCAGCCATTGTGAGTCTATTGATATGTGTTGTATCTGTTACAAATATCTGTAAGATATATGTATCTGTTGGTACCTATCTCTATTTGATTTGCCTATAAAGAGTGCAGTGGGCTATTTGATATCTTTTTTTTAAATTAAATTTGAAATAGATTTTAGAAAATATTTACATTGTTATCTAATACCTAAACATATTGATTCTCTCTTGTTCAGACTTTAATCAATGAAATTTTCCTGTGAATTAGATCTGATACATGCAGGACAACATTCTATTTTAGAAAAACAGTTTCTTGCAGTCAGAATGATGCAATTTAGCCCATGACAATTTAGAAAATCAAAAGCCATGTAATTTCTCAACCAAGCTTTGACATTTGTCTCCAAAGAGTGTTACTATCCTAACATTTACTCAGTTGTCACTTAATGACGTTTATAAACATGAAACCATAATGAAAAAGTGACAATAAAAATGGTAAAAACTGTAGTTTTTCAAGGTTTAATGACTATTGATTGTCTTAGTGTTAAATCAATTACATACACCCATCCCATAACACAGAAACTGTATTAAAATCAGCAGAAGTTCTTTGCATTCTTCGTTGACAATATCCGGTCTAAAATAATTACCTAGTGTCTGCTAGCGTTTGAAGTGTTGGCGCCAATATACCCTATATACACCTGGATTGCATTGCATTCCGTGTCTATTATTGCAAAAACTGCATGATGAATGGATTGATTGAGGCAATTTTACTATAGCGACTCTGTAAAATGTTTTATTTAATTAATGGAAATTCATGGAAAACGACCCCCTGCTTGTACAGAAATTACATATTATTATTATTTAACACTGTCATTGAAGTGCTTTATGTTGTTAGAGGAACCTGAAGCAGTGGGGGAATATGTGATCCTGCTGTCATTTAAACAACAGTCCTGGTAGACTTGTGCATAATTCATCATCAGTTATTTAATCTGCATGTGATGAATGCATGTCTGTCAAACAATTTCCACATACTTCATAAATTATGCAGAAAGTAATCAATTTTTTATTGTTTGTAGATGAAGATAAAGCTCAGACAAGCAAGTCAGAGTCTGAAAAATCCAACAATGGAAGTGGCTCGTAGCCAGCGAAACGGTACATCTCACTACCCCAGGGAACAAGTGTCTTTCAACATGAAGTTGTCTCACTTCACAGACTATTTTTACAAGAGCGATATGACAGTTGTTATAATTGTTGTTTTCACTTTGTTGAGAAATTTTCCATTATTTTTGTTTTTACATGGAATTTTATATAGTGTGAATTTTTTTCTCTGTGAAAATTCAAAGGTCTGCACATGTAAAGGGTAACAGAAGTTTAGTCTTGTTATGGCATTAGGCCATTAGCTTGCCAATTAATGAACTGATGTGGATGTATATATTAAAAAATGTGTTTATGTACCAGCTATTTCTTTATAGATAGCCAGGGTAAACACTTATCTTGAAAGGAAGTATTACATGTACATATAGCCACTGAATCAGTGCAATTGTATCTTGATAACAATACAGTAAAACACTATTACAGGGAACATGCTTATAATAAATTCACACTTGCAGCGAAGTGATTTCTCATTCACTGTAGTTTCAAGTATTTGAACTTATTGGATGTAATGAATTAATGTACATTTTTAACTAATCAAAATTGTTTGTACCTGGCACTTAGATATAAGTGTGTTTTTTTTTTCTGTACTATCTGATATACTTTAATATCTTTTTTCTTGAATTATGGAAAACTGTTCATGTATATATTGCTAGTACCTTTTTTATGGGGAAAGCATCACAATTTTTATGTCACTTTGTTGTGCAATTAAAATAAGCATATTAGTATTTTCTATGACATCAAATGAGTTTTAAAGATAATGAACAAAAAAATGGTGTAATTCAAATATCAGAACAAAATTGTTTTTTTGATCATTTTCTATTGTTATCTACAACTTGCCCTATTAGAGATTAATGAACAATTTTTTGTTAGATGTGGAATTTATCAATTAGATCCAGTCTACATTGCACATTTAATCCATATGCACAAATTTTCAGCCTTCCATTCAGTGACTT